AACCGCTGGCAACAAAAGTGAGTACACCCCTAAGTGAAAATGTCCAAAATTTCGCCCAATTAGATATTTTCCCTCCCTGGTGTCATGTGACTCATTAGTGTTACAAGGTCTCAGGTGTGAATGGGGAGCAGGTGTGTTAAATTTGGTGTTATCGCTCCCACTCTCTCATACTGGTCACTGGAAGCTCAACATGGCACCTCATGGCAAAGAACTCTGAGGATCTAAAAAAAAAGAATTGTTGCTCTACATAAAGATGGCCAAAGAAGACCATACAGCGGTTTAACAGGACAGGTTCCACTCAGGACAGGCCTCGCCATGGTTGACCAAAGAAGTTGAGTGCATGTGCTCAGTGTCATATCCAGAGGTTGTCTTTGGGAAATAGACGTAAGAGTGCTGCCAGCATTGCTGCAGAGGTTGAAGGGGTGGGGGGTCAGCCTGTCAGTGCTCAGACTATACGCCGCACACTGCATCAAATTGGTCTGCATGGCTGTCGTTCCAGAAGCAAGCCTCTTTTAAAGTTGATGCACAAGAAAGCCCGCAAACAGTTTGCTGAAGACAAGCAGACTAAGGACATGGATTAGTGGAACCATGTCCTGTGGTCTGGTGAGACCAAGATAAACTTATTTGGTTCAGATGGTGTCAAGTGTGTGTGGCGGCAACCAGGTGAGGAGTACAAAGACAAGTGTGTCTTGCCTACAGTCAAGCATGGTGGTGGGAGTGTCATGGTCTGGGGCTGTCGGCACTGGGGTGCTACAGTTCATTGAGGGAGCCATGAATGCCAACATGTACTGTGACATACTGAAACAGAGTATGATCCCCTCCCGTCAGAGACTGGGCCGCAGGGCATTATTCCAACATGATAACGACCCCAAACACACCTCCAAGAGGACCACTGCCTTGCTAAAGAAACTGAGAGTAAAGGTAATGGACTGCCCAAGCATGTCTCCAGACCTAGACCCTATTGAGCATCTGTGGGGCATCCTCAAACGGTGGAGGAGCGCAAGATCACTAACATCCTCCAAATCCGTGATGTCATCATGGAGTAGTGGAAGAGGACTGCATCCCTCTCAATTCTTGTGCTGATGTCACAGGAACAGGAAATGGGGAAACATGTCCCCAATGGATCACAGACAGAAACGAAAAACTAAGTGTTAAATGTCAAAGAACCAATAGTGAAAAATCCGTAGGAGTCCAAAGTCTTTAGTCCTCATGCACACTGGACGTTTTTACAACTGCTGTTTTTTGGCTTTTGACATTTTTTTCTACAGCTAGTAAACCCCCCAGCATGTTATCTATGTTTCCAAGCACACATAGACTGTAATCAATGTTTTTTTGGCAGGGATGTTTTTTGGCTAGAAAAAACCCCCAGGACTAGTGGGTTTCTAGGAGGAGTTTTTTAGCTGTAAAAATGCTCTAACGCTGAAAAAAGCGGTAAAACGCAGCAAACTGGCGTTTTTGGAATTTTTTTTAAAAAAAAACACTAAAAACCGCAAACGAGGAAAAACGTGGGAAAACGCTGCTAAATGTGTCAAAACGCCTCTAAACACTAATTCAAAAATGTTAAAAAAAGCTGAAAAATGCACGTTTTTAATGTGACTTTGCCCAGGTAACGTTACCAGTGTTATCCAAACGTCCAGTGTGCATGAGGACTTATTTTTCATTGGTCAACTGATTACAGGCTGTCCTTTGCCACGCTTGTTATAACTAGCTGAACAATAAAGACTTTGAACTCCTAAACATTTCTCATTTAGCACTCTCTTTGACCTAGAACACTTGTATTTCTGAATTTGGGTGAATGTCCTCTTGTGGGGGATCCCCATCTTTGTGGCGAGCTGCCGAATAACTACCAGTTGGGCTAAAGTAATGACTTTGTCCACATTTTGATAACCTGTGAAAATCTGTGTCCAGTACTCCTCTACCACTACCTCGGAAACTAAAAACTCACAACATTTTTAACTTTTCCCTAACATTTGCATAATTAAAAAAATTAATTGGCTGGATTTAGGCTTTAAAACAGTAATAATATGAACTGGGTTTTGCATTAGATTTCTAGACTATATCCAAAAGATAGGCAATACAGTTTTTTTTTTTTGGAACGTCAAAACTTAAATTAAATTAAGGCCACCCACCAATTCACTCACACAACACCTGCCCTGTCTAAGTTCTACTCTCATTTTGAACAACTTTGCCAAGCTCAAGGTCCGAGAAAAATGGAATGGATGAATATAATTCAGCTAAATTATCACATCTGAATCATCAAATAACAAAAAAAAAAACCAGAAAGATTTGGATTGTGCTGTAATGGTGATTAAAGTATAATTATACCAAATGACAATGTTTTTTTCTTCTGTGACTGTTTTATTCTTAGTTTTGACAGTAACTGCTGCTATTGCTATGTAACAGATGACACATTTTATTCAACCTCTTGAAGTCTGTGCCCGTGGAACAAACACGAGTCTTCCGCATTTAGCAGAGCAGTCATACAATGTAGATTCTGTTACAAATTGGCAAAAATATCACTGAGAAAAATACTCATATCTCTCTTCTTATCTGACTTCCATGTGGGTATATTCTGTCTTCCTTATCAATGCCAACAATTGCTCAGCCAGATACATCATTCGAATGCCCGAATATGGCAGAAGGATATTGTGAACCAAACATTTACAATTACTAATAAAAGCATTGCATACAACATTTAAAGAGCTTTTCTAAAAGCAGTAGAGGGGGCTGTTTGTGATTTATAACCTACAGCTCATTGACTTACATAGAACTGTGTAAAGGCTTTAGCCCTTACCTGAAATGAGGTGTGATGAGATGGGATGGTTGTCCAGGGAAGTATTGCCAGAGATACCTATAGTCCAGGCCGGGGATAAGGGGGTACCACCAGTCCTCGTGTACGGGGGCCCAGACCAGTAGGGGGACCCAGGCAGCTGAGTGAATTGGATGTGGGCAAGGATGGTGATCGGTATGGTGGGAGGGGGTAATCACTGAAACTGATCCCCTGTATGACTCTCTCTGCAGCAGCTGAAAGTTGACTTCTTCTATCCCTCCCGTTGGCTTTCAGCTGCTGCAAAGAGAGCCATACAGGGAATCAATTCCAGTAATTCCCGCCCCCCACTGCACCCATCACCCTCTCTGTGCACCAAATGTCTTCCCCTGCTGCCCAGGCCTCCCACGTGCCCTCACCCACACAGTGCTCCTGGCTTCCCTCCACTCCTTTCAGAAGCTGCAAGCACACAATAGGATCTTTCAGGATGGAGAGTAGGTAAACATGTCACATTTACCAGCCCTTTCCTTTTCTGAATTAACACAATGAGTGATTGGTACCGATCTTTCACTGTGTACATACATAACTGAAGCGTAGTAAACTATGTTTTTTTTTGGAAGGGGGGCCCCTGCCAGGTTGGCTGTATGGGGCCCCATGGTTTCTCACAGCAGCCCTGCCTATAGTATTATATATATGTACAGAACATAGTAGTCCCTAAATGAAAACATTCCGTGTCAGTATTGGCTGACATTCAGTGTAGACTCAGGCTTCACAAAGCCTTGGGTTGTACCATGGAAGTTGTACATTGAGGGCTGGTAAAAGAGAAGATTGTGAAGTATCCAGTTTGTTCTGAGTCTTGGTTTCCTGAGAAGCAGTGATTGGCTAGAATGAGATTCTCAAATGGTCCAAACACCCATGTATCATTTCGTTCTGGGCTTGCAGAGTTCCAGTCACCCTCCCTAAACAGAAAGCCCCTTTTTCCTCTTACTTTTATTTGAGTGATCACGAGCCAACATGAGGTGGAAGGTTATCGGATCTTATGAAACTCTCCCAATATGGTTTAAACTAAATGGGCTACTAAAGGGTTACCTATTTCCTGAGAGTCACCGTATTAGGCTAGAGCTACAGTTGTGCTCAAACGTTTGCATACCCTCTCAGAAATCATGAAATGTTGGCATTTATATTGCAAATATGACTGATCAAGCCAAAAAAAACTGTGTTTATTTAAGGATAGAGATCATATGAAGCCATTTATTATTTATTTATTTCAGGTACTTATATAGCACTGTCAATTGATGCGCTTTACACATATATATATATTGAACATTCACATCAGTCCCTAACGCTCAAGCGGCGTACAATCTAAGGTCCCTTACTCACATTCCTACATACACATATTAGGGCCAATTTAAACAGGATCCAATTAACCTACAGCATGTCTTTGGAGTGTGGGAGGAAACCGGATCACAGAGTTGTTTGGCTCCTTTTTAAATAATGATAAAAGAAATCACCCAAATAGCCCTGATCAAAAGTTTCCCTCCCCTGGAATGTTTGGCCTTGGTACAGACATACAAGGTGACACACACGGGTTAAAATGGCAATTAAAGGTTGATTTCCCACATCTGTGGCTTTTTAAGTTGCAATTAGTGTCAGTGTATAAATAGTCAATGCATTTGTTAGTTCTCATATGGATGCACTGAGCAGGCTAGATACTGAGCCAAAAAAGAACTATCAAAAGACCTGCGTAACAATAACTTTATAAAGATAGAAAAGGATATAAAAGATATCCAAAGCCTTGAATATACCAAAAAATACTGGTCACTCACTTATTAAGAAATGGAAAGTTGTGAAATCCATTGATACCAAGCAAAGGACAGGTAGACCAAGAATGATTTCAGCCACAACTGCCAGAAGAATTGTTTGGGATACAAAGAAAAACCCACAGGTAACCTCAGGAGAAATACAGGCTGCTCTGGAAAAAGATGGTGTGGATTTTTTTAAGGAGCACAATAAAACAATTCTTAAATATAAATGAGCTGTATGGTCGAGTTGCCAGAAAGAAGCCTTTACTTTGCCAATGCCACAAAAAAGCCCGGTGCCGCACATCAAGGTGTTGTTAGGCATATTGTAACTGGGATTATTTGTGCCATTGGTGCAGTAAAAGCTTATTTCTGGCAGCCCGATCATACAGCTTATTTTTGTTTAAAGTGTAACTAAACCTAGGACCCTGCATTCACTATATCTGGTCTCCCCGGACCTTGCATTCACTATATCTGGTCTCCCAGGACCCTGCATTCACTATATCTGGTCTCTCCCCGGACCCTGCATTCACTATATCCGGTCTCCCCGGACCCTGCATTCACTATATCTGGTCTCCCCGAACCCTGCATTCACTATATCTGGTCTTCCAGTACCATGCATTCACTATATCTGATCTCCCCGGACCCTGCATTCACTATATCTGGTCTCCCCGGACCCTGCATTCACTATATCTGGTCTTCCCCGGACCCTGCATTCACTATATCTGGTCTCCCCGGACCCTGCATTCACTATATCTGGTCTCCCCGGACCCTGCATTCACTATATCTGGTCTCCCCGGACCCTGCATTCACTATATCTGGTCTCCCCGGACCCTGCATTCACTATATCTGGTCTCCCCGGACCCTGCTTTCACTATATCTGATCTCCCCGGACCCTGCATTCACTATATCCGGTCTCCTAGGACCATGCATTCACTATATCTGGTCTCCCACAGTACACACAACATGGAAATGAAATTATTTTAGTAAATATAAACTGCTAAATACCTTTTCTCACCAGCATTACATAGCAGACTTGTGACTTCTATCAGTGTCTGGCCGAGCACTGGTTAAAACTTGTAGGAGGAGTTTTCATTCTCCCCTTTGAGGCTGCATAAACCCCTGACCCCCTGGGTCTGGACAGTGCTGATTGGCCCCTTTGCCACTCACATGTACTCTCCCAAGAAAAAAAAAAACAACTATCAATACACACTAAACTGAGCATGTGCAGCTTGCCCCCAAGGCTCTGTACTATCAGCAGATAGATTGGGGACAGTAGAAGAAGGGGAGAATTAGAGAAGATAGGATCAGTCTTTTTACACAATGCAGAGGATTAACCCCTTAGGTTCCACAGTGAGTATAACAAGCATGCTTTACTGCATATACAGACTGATTTTACTATTGTGGGTTTAGTAACACTTTAAATGTATTTTTACAACACAAGCAGTGTATGTTCCTGAAATTGATCTGGTATCAGCCACTTGCTGAGCTGAGTTTGAGAGGAAAAAGCAGAAAAAGGATCAAATTATTTTATGTGCTGGCAAGGGGCATGCTGATAATAGGAGAGAGCAGTGTGACAAAGAGTGGAGCTCCTCACTGTGCTGCTCCTACACTCACCGGCCACTTTATTAGGTACACCTGTTCAATTGCTTGGTTACACAAATTGCTAATCAGCCAATCACATGGCAGCAACTCAATGTATTTAGGCATCTAGATATGGTAAAGACTTGCTGAAGTTCAAACTTAGCATAAGAATTGGGAAGAAAGGGGATTTAAGTGACTTTGAACATGGCATGGTTGTTGGTGCCAGACGGGCTGGTCTGAGTGTTTCAAAAACTGCTGATCTACTGGGATTTTCATGACAACCATCTCTAGGGTTTACAAAGAATGGTCCGAAAATGAAAAAATATCTAGTGAGCGGCAGTTGTGTAGACGAAAATGTCTTGTTTATGTCAGAGATCAGAGGAGAATAAGCAGACTGGTTCCAGATGATAGAAAGGCAACAGTAACTCTAATAACCACTCGTTACAACAAAGGTAGGCAGAATTCCATCTCTGAATACACAACACATCGAACCTTGAAGCAGATGGGCTACAGCAGCAGAAGTCCATACTGGGTGCCATTCCTGTCAGTTAAGAACAGGTTATGGAGGCTACAATTCGCACACAGGCTCACCAAAACTGGACATTAGAAGACTGAAAAAACATTGGTTGGTCTGATGAGTCTGGATTTCAGCTGCAACATTCAGATGGTAGGGTCAGAATTTGATGTAAACAACATGAAAGCATGGAACCATCCTGCCTTGTATCAATGGTTCAGGATGGTGGTGTAATGATGTGGGGGATATTTTCTTGGCACACTTTGGGCCCCTTAGTATAAATTGGGCATTATTTAAACATCACGGCCTTCCTGAGTATTGTTGCTGACCATGTCCTTCCCTTTATGACTTCAGTGTGCCCATCTTCTGATGGCTCCTTCCAGCAGGGTAATGCACAATGTCACAAAGCTCATATCATCTCAAACTGGTTTCTTGAACATGACAATGAGCTCACTGTACTCCAATGGCCTCCACAGTCACCAGATCTCAATCCAATAGAGCACCTTTGGGATGCGGTGGAATGGGAGATTTGCATCCTGGACATGCAGCTGACAAATCTGCAGCAACTGCGTGATGTTATCATGTCAATATGGACCAAAATCTCTAAATGTTTCTAACACCTTGATGAATCTATGCCTTGACAAATTAGGGCAGTTCTGAAGGCACAAGGGGGCCCAACCCAGTACTAGCAAGGTGTATCTAATAAAGTGGCCAGTGAGTGTATTTTCACTGTTCAGGGAGGATCCATGATGACTGGGATAAGCGATAATAGGTTGAATGATGCTGGTTGCCATTCAACCTGGAAGACTTGCAATGGAAAATAAATACTTCAGATTGAAGGTGAGCACTGCAGCATAAGTAGCTATTTTATTTTGTTTTTATTTTTGGATAGAGTTCTGCTTTAAGTTGTTCAGTGTTGCTGTTTAATATTTAATAACATTACGTTGCTAACAGATGTCAGCAGGGACCACATGCAGTGGGTAATTCCAGGAGATATTATTGTGCACCGCCATCACATGACTCCCATTCTTTGAAGTCTTGAGAATGAGTGACACACACTTTGATATATTTCTCCAATAACTATGAATCGCCGGCCAAAACAAGCGTAGAGTGCCTCACCTGCTCCATTAACCCCGGTGCCTGGCATTGGCTTCCTAAGCCATTTCCTAATGTTTCCACATCCACAAGTAGCTGGAGTGGGAACAGTTTTGTGATACATCCTGCAGCTTCCTTCGGCCATGAGAGAGCCTGCGGGACAGGATGTTATGATTTATTTAACACATACATGGACTGGAGTACAAAGAGCAGGGTGTAATTATGATGTGATGATATGCTCAATAATTCATTATTCTAAGTGCTTAATTTTTCCTTGGGGAAATACTTGAAAGCAAATCCCTAGAAATCTCATCAACCCGTCATAAGGCATCAGCTACTTCCAGTATATTATAAGGTGAATAGATTTTGATATAATGTATACACATGGTTTAACATTTTTATTGCCCCCAATTATTAGGACAGGGATGGATTTACCATAAGGCACTATGGCCAGGGAAGTAGAAAAAGAAGGGCACAGCATTTATAAATTTTGTTTTCAGGACACTTGCCACCAGGGCTTTTTTTTCTCAGAGAATAGATACGGGTACTACCTCCTTCTGAGTCACCCCTTATCTCTGCCCCCTACCCTCCCCTGAGCACAATCCCTTGGTTCCACCCCCTTGGTTAGAGAATACAGGACCAAGTATTGATTGGAATTTGTACAGAATGTGTTAATGATACCAAGAAAAGCAGTAAACTAGTTCCCTTGCAGTCAGCTACAATACACCCCTACAGCAACAATAGACCCCTGCCAGCAACAAAACATTATCCAGCAGAAATAGACCCTCACCAGCAACAATAGATTTCCCAGCAGCTAGCATCAATAGACCCCTCCCTCAACGGTAGATCACTCCAAGCAATGACTGGCCCCCCAAGCAACAAAGGCCCCCCCAGTAACAATAGATTTACTATTAGCAAAAATAGACCTCCCCAGCAACAATAGAACTGATACTGCAACAATAGATTTCCCCAGTATCCAAACACACCCTCTTAAACCAGCACCCCTTGCCATTATACATATTGAATACCGGTGGTGTCTGAACTGCGCCCCCACTGAAAAAAAAGGTCTGCTTGTCACTCAATCTACCAATGGCACTGAGTGAGGGCATCCTGAGGCTCTCTTTAGATCAAGTAACAGAGCAGCCATTCCTTGGTTAGAAGGCTGCAGTGTCAAATGATTGCTTCTCATATGGAAGCCATAAAAACCTTATTAAAGAACAAAATGCTTTTTTTTCCCCCCTCTTTCTTTCCTTCTTTCTCAAATTCTCTTTCTCTCTCTCTCTTCTCTTTCCTTTTCTCTCTTCTTTCTTTCTCTTTTTCCTTTTCTTTCTTCTCTTTCTCTCTTTCTTTTTCCTTGTTTTTTTCTTCTTTCTTGGTAGAAAAGGCATGCAAGGATGCTACTGCCACAGAATATCTCCCCTCTTTTTTTCCAGCACTTTTTGTTTCTTTGTACACTACATGGTGCAAGATGTCAAGATTCATAAAAGAGAAAAAAAGAAAGAGTGAGAGAAGAAAGGAAAGGAAAAAGACAAGAGAATTTGAGAAAAAAGAGAAGAGAATTTGAGAAAAATTTTAGAAAAAAGAGAAGAGAAGAAAGAAAAAAAGAGAAGAGAGAGAGAGAAACAAAGAGAATTTGAGAAAGAAGGAAAGAAAAGAAAGGAAAAAAAGAGAAAGAAAAAAAAAACAAGGAAAAAGAAAGAGAGCAAGAGAAGAAAGAAAAGGAAAAAGAGAGAGAAAGAGGAGAGAGAGAAAAGGAAAGAGAAGAGAGAGAAAGAGAATTTGAGAAAGAAGGGAAGAAAGGAAAGAAAGAAGGGGAAAAAAGAAAGAAAGGGGGAAAGAAAGAAAGGAAAAAGAAAAAGAGAAGAGAGAGAAGAAAAGAAAAGAAAGAGAGAGAGAAATGGAAAGGGAAAAGAAAGAGAGAAGAAAGAGAAGAGAGAGAAAGAAAGATAATTAGAGAAGGAAGAAAGAAAGAAAAGAAGAGAAAAGAGAAGAAAGAAAAAGAAAGGACAGAGAGAGAGAGAAATAAGACCTAGTGTGTTTTTTTGAGCCAAAAAAAAATATAAGACAGTGTCTTATTTTCGGGGAAACACGGTATGTGTAAATTGAGCAAAAGAGAGAGGAAGAAGGAAAAAAGGAAAGAGATAGAAGGAAGGAAGAAGAAAGAGAGAAGAGAGAGAGAGAAAGAAAGAGAATCTGAGAAAGAAGGAAAGACAAGAAAGGAAATAAAAAAGAGAGAGAGAGAAAGAAAGAAAGAATAAAGGAATGAGAGAAAGAGAGAGGAAGAAGGAAGGAAAGAGATAGAAAGAGAAAGAAGGAAGAAGAAAGAAAAGAGAGAGAGAGAGAGAGAGAGAAAGAAAGAGAATTTGAGAAAGAAGGAAGGGAAAGAAAAAAAAAAAAGAAAGAGGGAAGGAAAGAAAGAGAGATAAAGAAGAGAGAGAGAGAAGAAAGGTATGAGAGAAAGAAGAAAGGAATGAGAGAGAGAGAGAGAAGAAAGAGAGAGAGAATGAGAAGAGAAGAAGAAGAAGAAAGGAATAAGAGAGAGAAGAAGAAAGGAATGTGAAAGAAGAAAAAAGGAA